AAGATACCTAATTATATTTCGCAATATTATAAAAAAAAATTGAAACTAAAGTGTTCCTATGAAAATTGTATTTACTTTTTATATAAAACTTTAAATTTATATAAAATTATTCATAGATGGCAGGGAATCTTATTTGTTTCGTTATTTTTTGAAGAGTTAGATTGATTAGTACATAAATTCGACATTTTGTTTCTCTAAGTCTCTATCTTTAGTAAAATTTGGTTAGAGATTAAATAAATCTATTTTTCAGTCAAAAACTTGCATATAGAAAATCTAGCAAGTCCGTTTAAAAACATCAGGGGCATTAAATTTGATATTCGTCGATACAAAAGTTACAAAAGCTGCTCGTTCGCAAGTTAAATATTCGGTATCCGTGTATAATAAGGTTGTTAAAAGTAATGCCATAATAATATTATTTTACAAAAATAACGCTTAAGTGCCTCAGTGCCTCGAGTTTGGGATACCAGCACTTTATTACCTACTTCTGCTTTTCAAGGTGCAAATCTACAAATATATAAACGTATTTACTATTCGATGTTTTAAAAGGAACAATATACAATTGTAACTTCTACGAGCACTGAGTACATATGTAAAGTTCTAATTCCACAAAGATTTTCAAGAAATTTTGTATAAATGTTTTTGATTAACACCCATTATACCCATTATATTTTTTGGTAAAATAAAAAAAAAACCCTTCCAAACTGTACAAATACATAAAATTTAAGTTGTTGTGCACGTTAACGAATAAAGTAGCCTTAAAATCTGTTAAAAATCAGCTTTGTATAGAAAAGCTTTTGAATATTTTCCTACTAAGCCATCAAGTGTTGCAATATTGTGTTCGAAAATATACCTTTACCTGTTATTCTTGGTAAACTTGTTTGCTGAAGTGATTCTTTTGTAATTCTTCGTTCGGTTTCAATGACACGACTGCCCCATCAGGCCGCCCACTTGCACTTTTCAGTCGATGCTCAAAGACTGTTGTGTTGTCAAGCGATTTAGCTCACTTCGCAGAAGGTTAGAGGCAACTGACTCTTTCGGCAGCTCTTCGCCTTATCGCCAGCCGCCAGTACGTTTTGTGCGGGTCTGAGTTGGAGGTTGCACTCGCCCCAATGCACAATTTGCATGCATGTCACGTTCCCGGCAACGATGACGGCTTCGTCACCTGGCCCAACGCACAGCCCGACAAGAATTTGTACATTTCAGGCAGGAATAATACAAAAAAACAATTCATACGCACGGTGCAGCGAAGGTAACCGCGAAATACAAATACCCTTTTTAAAGTAAAATTGGACTAACGGAAACAATTTACCCGTCAGTATAAATACCCTTGCTTTATTTTACTCGAATAATAAAGATCTTCATCACTTTTCACTTGAAACAGCAATACAAAATGCGAATATTTAAAATTTTGCTGTACTTTTTTCAATAATATAATATGGTAACAAAAACTTGTCGGGTAATGTTTTTAAGTTGACTGGAAATACAAGTGCAAATGTAAAATTTTACAATACCATTTATTATTATGAAATATTTCCTATTGTTTTTTTTTTAGCTAGATACTAATATATCTTTGCAGTCAAAATTTTATTCGTTGTTGCTTAATTAAGTATTCTATTACTGCCAATCGTGAGGAAAATATTTAAACCGCTGAAAACAAAAATTGGAAACAAAAATGTGGGAAGTCAATTAAAAATCTTTGGCCATGTTTTTGTCTGTTTGCTAAGTTAATTGATTTCACGTCTGGCGCCATGATTTACGATTTATAAGAATGCCGTATTCGAAAATAAAATTGGAAAATTTTCTATAGCTAATATTGGAAATGGCAAAGGTCTAAATGGATAATGGTTTCTCTACGAAGCTGCTGCTGACAAAGCTGTGAGGTGTAAGGGTTTAAAAGGTTGGTAAGCATAATAGTAGTTATTAGATTTTGCAATACAAATCGGACGATCATTAATATCACACAATGGAAAAGTTGCAGTCAAGTTTTGTTTCAATGTTTACTATGAAGATAAAAAGAAAAGTCACTACTGTAATCCGTTTAACAAGAGATAAATATTTTCCTAAAAGAAAATTCGGTTTGGCACATTGTTTGAATATTTATTTAGATTTTGAAATTTTTTTATAATTAACTAAATTTGCATGTGGTGTTTTAGAAAATATTCTTCAAATTTATACGCAGGATTGTTTTATAAATACAAAAAACTTCTGAAGCACTTTCAATCGATTTTGAGACACTTTTGTCTTTAACTTCCTTTTTTTTTCAGTGGGTGTACTGCATGTAATGCTTTATAGTTGTTGTCGGCTGTGCTGTGAACAACGCGGCTTTGTATAAATTGGCAGTGCGTTTACCGAAGCAACAATAAGAGCTGCTACATCTGCGAGACTGTGGTCACAGTTCATTGAACCGTTAGAACACACTTTGCCTTGCCGCGGAGATGATGAAGAAGATGCAGCCGATGGATATGGATATGGATATGGATGGAACAGCCAATGTGCTTGTGCATGATGCACAGAAAAAATATTGCACGCTCATGATACGACATTGCCCATTTCGAAATATCCATTGATAATCAATATGCCCCAGAACAATACTATTTTTTAGCCGTAACGCCATGGTATTTCTGTCCCTACTGTATATCTCTAAGAGTATTCATTAGAATTAAATAAATATAGCTGGCGAGGAACGCTAACGAGCATCTATCAATAATTTTAAGATGTGTCAAAAATGGCTGACTTATGGGGAATGTTGACACTTATATATATATATTATTCTAAGCAAGAAAAGGCGCCAACTTTGACTAACCGAAAATAATATACCCTTGCACTTGACACTTTCATTTTCATTAATTAATTAATTTTTAATTCATTTTCATTTTTTGTAAAAATATATTAAATATGATCTATATAGATTATTTTGCATGCATCTTTTTAACGATCTTGCCAGATGAGTTTATTGAGTACATAATTCTTGTTAAATCAGCAAGGGCATAAAACCTTCGCATTGCCAAAATTATTTACACCTCTCTCGTTTATTTATTATTATTATTTATTTTGGTTGTTATTGAGCTTATTTTTCTGTGTGTGCCCATGCTTGTAGAGCTTGCTGGAGATGCCAGCGATGCTGTGGTGCTGTGCGGCTCTGATGGTTCAGACAGACACTCCAGAGCGTGTCAACAGTGGCACCACCGAGCCATAAAAGCGATGCTCTTCAGTGGTTGCAGGGGTGAGGATGATCTGTCAGCGTTGCGAATTGCGAATGGTGCTTGGTGCTTGGGGTGACCAACTACAATGTTCGGCATAAGCTTAGGTCGCTTTAAAATATTACGATTTTCCAGTGGAACAGATATGGAAAGATGACTTTATATCAAAAATAGAATGACGATATTGCAAGCATCAAAATATCATCAAAACTTTGAAACATTTTATAAATAAAAAGCGAATAATTAATGACATATTCTTTTTCGTTCTACTGCGTTCTTTATCTACATTTTCTTTTGTCGCAAAATCGGACCCCAAGGACAAGTGAAATTGGATTTGACTTTGGAGGAGTCTTTTGCGTTGGTGGCGCGTGTAATAATAGAGATAATCCCTGGGTGAAGAAAGGTCATCAGACGCACATGTTAGCCCCTCTGCACCTCTGCGAAGACAACAACAACCCACTTGACCCATATCCTTGAACCCTAAGACGCGCTTTCGGCGACCTTATTGTGCAAACCATAAATAAAATATTTATGATATTGTGCACAGCGAAATCAACTGGAGGAACGAGCACAGACCCAGAAAGTGCATGTGAAGAGGCTGGCTGCAAAGCGTGCACTGTTCGTGAGAATATTGTTTTAGCGACACCGAAGGCCATGAAGGCCAATGCACCAAGTGTTATTACCAATCTACGATGTGCCATAGACAAACGCAGGCACATCAAAGCGCAAAAATACTGGAAAAGCGGCAGAAAGGGAACCTTCCCCAGGGAGATCATCGCCATGGAACCATAAAGACCATTTATAAATAGCAAAATCAAACGAACCCCATGATTTTACGGAGGCTTGTCGCATGTCTCACTGCCATGTGGAGGCCGAAACCAAAAATACAAATAAATGAAAAGAAAAGTCTGCGGGTAGAACAGAAAAACCAGTGTCAACTGCACCACACACTTGCTTTCCTTAACTATTGCCAATGATGTCCGGTGTGGCAGAACGGCTTAAAGCACTAATAAATATTATGTATACTTATTGAGTGTAAGAAGTTTGTAAAAATAAATAATTCCGTTAATTCAATAGCCCCTTTGATAATTTAAACAGTTTATATTGCCCAAGATAATGCATAAACTATTAAGAACAATAAAAATGTTGTAATCTGACTTTAATCGTTAGTTGTCCCCTTAATAATCTAATCTCGATAAGTGCATAAATACAAAGTTTAATGTGTCTGATTGCTAGCTTCCAACGCAGTAAGGGGAAGTCGTTATAGATCTGTCGATCTTTGTCTAAAAAAAAGGAGATTCTAAACCAATAAAAAGCCAAACAAAATTAATTAATTAATTTTTACGAAAACGACTAAGCTTATACGTTCAAACGAAATTAAAAAAATACTTTTGTCTAACAATTAATATTTGTTCTTTTTTTTATGTTTTGTAATAACCGATAGTGTCATGTTAAAAAAACATTTGCATTTATGGAAAGATTATTCACCCAACTGAAATAGAAATTTTAAGCAAGCTTATATTTCTCTAAGTAACACATATAAATGTAACCTTTCTGTGATCTAAATTTAGTTCTTACTATGATTTCTGCCTTTTTGTTTTTTAGACTAGTTCATTTTTTATATTCCACTTAAAGAAGATATGCCTTTATTTATATTGGTGTTGCAGTATCAAAATAGAAGGTTAAAAATTTTTTTTATGAGTTAAAATATGAAACGCATGTTAAAGATTTCGTATTGAAGTTTCTTATTTTTTGCCCAGTGTATACAAGTAAAAGGAAAATTCCGCATGGGAAACTTACCCAAAAAGCAACAAAGATTGCGTTGCAAGTTGACTTTTTCGGTTCCTTGTTCTGTATCTGTATCTGTTGTTGTTGATGTTGTTGCAGGTTCAAGATGCATAGATGTCTGAAGAAGAAAAAAGAGCGAGAGGGAGAGAGGTTGAGAGGAAAGCGAAAGAGAGAGAGCAAGAGGGCCCTAATTGAATGTTTGGCTTTTAATTAAACAAGAAATGTGAGGGTGGAGGGCGTGACAACCACGACCACTTGACTTTCTATCGTTCTCATCTCTTCTTTCTTCTTGGCCCCCCCTCTCTCTCTACATCTCTTCCACTTTTTGTGGTTATCTAATCCGAGGGTTTGACCCTTGAAGCAGGTGACATTTTCGACTTGAGGAAGTACTTCCGTTCCTGTTCTTGTTGTTGTTGTTTTTGGCGTTGCTACTGCTGTGCTGCTGCTTCTGCCAATACCGTTATTGATTTTTTGCGGCAGCTTGTTGTTGTTCCTGCCCTTAAGCCCAAAAAAAAAAGGCGTGTGGCAAGGAAAGAAGGAGAAGGAAGAAGAGGGAAAAGCCAAAAGCAAAGCACCGCCTAAGCGCATCACACAGACAGGGAAGAGAAGAGAGGAATGTAGAAGGAGTCAAGAAAAGAGAGGCCAAAGCAAAACGAGTTAAGACGCAAAGACAATGCAGATAAAGTCAGCCAACAACAAACACGGCCAAGAACAACAACAGCGACAACAACAACAGCAGTCTCCGCGGCACTCTCGTCTTCTTCTTATTCAGTCGCTGCTTGTTCTTCTTCTTCTTCTTTTGCTGCTACCAAGTGCATTTATTTTTGGAGAAAACTCGGATCTTTACTTTTTGGACCAGCTGCGAATTAAGTTTTCCTTTAAAAAACGATTGCTGTTTCACCTCTTAAATGCGCGCGCGCATTTTCCGCGACAAAAGAAAACAAACGGCCGGGACACAATTAAAAGTTTGCTTTAAGAAAAAAAAAAAAACAACAAACTGGGTGGCACACCGAAAAAAATATTACAAGCGTCGCGTTATTTAACGGCTTTGCCTTCCGACGGTTTCTTCCGCTTGTTTGAATTGTTTGGTTCGGTTTGCTCGGTTTGTTTGGTTTGTTTGGTTGGTCCGACCAAAGTTGCAGCCCAAAGCGTCGACACGAAGCGACACGAGACGACACGAACGAAAGCGCTGGTGGTGGGCTATCGGCGATACTTTCATCGATGTCTTAAAATAATCGATCATTTCGACGTCATCGCTGTTTTTCACTGTTATTAATTCTGTTATTGTTATGGAGTAAGTCCCTACTACCTTCGGAGGGTGTCTCGACTACCTGCTGTTTCACCACTACAACAGGTGTGACCGTTTACGGGCTCCAGTCGTTAAGAAAATACTAAAAGGGGAGTTAGGCCTGAAAAATACCGTTCGACTGTGGTGGATTACTGTGCGCGCAATATTTTGAATGCATTTGTTTTGGTTGCAGATCCAAAACTGCACTTCAAGAGCCCGTAACTTGGTATATCGGATTTTTTACTTTAAAATTCTGCATTAAAATATATTATATTTTAATGATGGACAATGTGTTGAACCATTATTATGTTAGCCATATCAATTTAATTGATAAGCAAGCACCCAAATTTGAAATAAAACAAAATCGGTTTTGTATTATACACTTCATATAATTTGTATGCAGGTATTAATACATATATGCAAGTATTTAACATTCAGTGGCATTCCCAGGAGGCGAATGTAGGGTTTTGGTATCACTTGCAAGCCTTTCATTTTAAAATTTGTTCCATAAACTATGATTACTCACCTCCATTCGCTTTCTGTGAACGCCACATTTACCATATTTGTACAATCGTATGTATTTTTTGTGGGCTTTTGTAAATTGTTTTTTGCTGAATGTTTAGCTCATACACACTAAAACTATTAAACTGATTTCGTTTGTTGACTAGCATTTAGTTATTTGCTTTTTGTAAACAGCATAAAATGTAACGCTCTTATTTATATGCCTCTAAATGAACTAAATTATTGCACATTTTGTTTAGGATTAGAACATAGTTTGCCACACACACGGGCCTGAGTGCGTTGGTGTGGCTTTTAAAAGATTCCTGCGGTCTGATCCGTCTGGATTGATGTCTTGAATGATATGTACGCTACGCTTTTGACTAATTGGATTTGGGGATAGGGTCGTTGCCCGAATACTCATAGAGTAAAATTTTGCCATAATTCATGATTAATATGTATTTGCAGTGATGGGAGCTGCCCATGCTTAGGTACTTTTTGCCGTACCTCAGTACAATTAACTTGTATTCTCGCTATCAAAGTTGGAATAATGTTGAATAATAATATCTTTTTAATGTTAACAATAACTCGAAATAGAAAACCTTTTTTCCCCATCACTGCATTTAATTACACTGTGCTACACCAAAAATGTACATCAACGAAGTATACTTTTCTAAAAGATTTCGGTGTACTGAATTTGAGTCTGGACACGAAAAAGTTTATCCACGTCAGAGGTTTAATAAAATCAATTTCGAAGTTTGATACATTATTTTTTTAACTTGAAAAACTTTCTTACTTCCGGTAAATTTCTTTTACTTCGTTACAAAATTTTTAAGTTTGTTCTAAAAGAAATATACATTTGGCCAAACATTTCAAGTAAAAGAATTTAAAAAGTTTGAGGCTAAAAAATAATAAAAATTACAACATTTCTAAGTTCATTGTCAAAACGGTGACGTGGTGGAACATTTTCGTAACTTGATTTAAAATAATTGCCTCGAAATCTTTAAAAAAAGAGTATATTTTCGTTAATGTAAAAAATAATAAATAAATAGTTTTGTAACACAGTTTTATGAGTTTGTGTGAGTGAGTTTTGGTGATGGTGTTTGCTAAGTGTAGGGTATCTTGCTGTCGTTTCAAAACAGCAACGCTCCAACCACATTAAGAGCCTGATGGTGTTGTTGCTTCTGTTGTTGTTGCTGCTGCTGTTGTTGTTGGTGTGTGTGGAACATGCTTGTGGTTGTTGGCGATTTAAGTTCTTCCACTATAATGGCACCGTTCTCGTCCACCGTATGATTTAATAGTAAATTCTCGACCTGCTCATCGGACAGTAACTCTTTTGGCTCTGAAGATCTGTAAAGTTAGGTTATAGATTTTCATGTAGTTGTTTCGCTGTGTGAGAAATTCATAAAACACACAACTGCGACTTGATAGAGTTTTTGGGGAGATGATCACAGTGGGGGAACACAGGACAAGAAACTAAATACAAGGACTAGCACGTACAAACAATAAAGTCGAGCTTGCCGACTAAATAATACCCGGTACTCTAATATTTATATATGTCGACAAATATATTTACAAATTTTAAGATTCATATTCGTGACAAAGCATTTTCTATTGCCTAATGGTAATTATTAACCAATCATCTAGAAAACATAAACATTATGAAATTCACAACAAATTCCAAAAATTTTCTTTTGCTACAGTCAAATTATCCCGATTATCGATTCCTTACCTAAGCTTTACATTGTTTTGTATAGCTAATGAGTGATTTAATTTTTTCAAGAAAGTAGTTTGGCTTTTCTTTACTATTTAAAAAATAAAAAAAATGTATTTTCTTTTTTTGTTTTAAACAAAGTCTAAAATCCTTTTCTGAAAACATTTGTAAGATAAAAGTCGTCTTTAAAAATAAGAAAAGTTTAACATCAACTTTAAGCTTAACATGAAGATCAGAAAATGGGCGTTAATCACAAAACATGTTGGTAAGTTAAATCATTTAAAAGGGTGTCGGAAATAAGCAATGTTTAGATTTATATATACATTTTATGGTGATATTTCTAAGATACATTTTTATGTAACTAAAATCGGATTTAGAAGATTTAAATATTAGAGTACCGGTTATTTAAAACAGGCACATTCAGTTAGACAGAGACAGTGAGATATGGCGATGACTTGGCTTAGAGGGAGATAGCAATGGTGTGATAGCAATTAAAGGCGGTTAAAAATGCGAGAAAAGTAACGTTTCAAATTTAAAACAGAGCAAAAACACAACAAATATTTCTCGATTTTGGTTAATGCGTTTTGGAGCAGTACATACAGATTTTTTTTTTTTGGTTTGATTAAAGCGAGTGTGCGTTCGTGCTGTTGTTGTTCTTGTTGTTGTTGTTGTTGTTGTTGTAGTTGCTGTTGTTGTTTTAGCTGATATTACTGATGTTGTTGTTGTTGCAGTTAGTGGTGATATATAGAGATATATATATATTTTTTTTTTTGTAAGAATCAAAGGTAGCAAAAAGCAGAGACCAAATTAAAGCAGCCAATTTCGTATCAGTGATATTGTTATATTATAAATTTTGCAGTTGTTCTTGTAGTTTTGGTTGTTTGCTAGATTAGATGGGTGCAAGAATTGCGCTGATCGTCGCTTAGTCAGTTGGGTTTATTTTGGATTGATCAATTTCGATATTGGATTCAGATTCAGATTCGGATTCAGATTCAAATGAGCTTGGTGAGGCGGTTATGCAGCGAGTTGAGCAGACTGCGACCGCCGCCTTTTGGGCCAACACCACCACCACCACCACCACCGTCTACTGACCTGCTGAAGAGGAAAAAGTCACCGGCACCGCCTCCGCCGCCAGAACCGGAACCGGAGCCACTGCATCCGCTGGACGATCCGCCGCCGCCGCTGCTGGATACCGCTTGGAATGCGTCTGCGTTGCCACTGAGCAGCGCCTCACCCTCGGCTCCACTGTCGCCGCCCATCTCCGATTCGCTGTTCCGTCGCTCCAGGCTGCGACCCACCTTCTGGAACCCATAGCTGAACACATCCTTCACCTTATCGCCGGCATCGATCAGCAGGTCCAGGCTCTGCCGCCGTCCGCTGCCCTTGAAGCTATTGGAGCGCGACAGCCACTGGCTGAGACTCTGCTTGCGGCTCATCTGCTGCCCGCCGCCGCCGCCGCCGCTCGATGCACTGCTGTCGTCCTGGAATATCGTCGTACAGGTGACCTTGCGCTTTGGCTCATCGGAGGACGAAGTGGAATGCTGCGACTGGGCATCCGCATCCAAATGGTTCCGACCCATTCCCATTCCCAGTCCCTGCCCACCGGAGCTCTCCAGGCCGTGCTGGTCCAGCAGCGATTGATTGGAGTAACTGGAACTGGTGCTATCCGAATGCGACAGCCGGATCTCCGTCCACTGCTCGATGTCGTTGTCCGCCGGAGCACCGCCACCGCCACCAGTGCCGATACCAGTGCCAGCCGAAGTGGACACAGAGGCGGAGCCGGAGGCCAGGGAACCGCTGCCCGACGACTTCACCTCGTAGGGGGCGTGCAGGCCCAGCGGTCCCAGGCCCGCCTCCCCATCCGCTGCACTGGTGCTGGCCGACTTGTGCATGCCGCCGGCCAATTTCTGCGGGAAGGTCAACACCGCCTCGAAGTCTGTCAGCAGATGGGGACACTCGTGGCCCAGGCGCTCCGGCATGCGCAGGTACTCCTCCTCCTCCTCGTCCTCGTGCTCCTCCTGCTCCTGCTGTGCTGCATCCTCGTCCTTGGGAGAGCCGGAATGCAGCGTGGAGTTCCGTTCCAGACCCGCCGTCAAGGTGTCCACCGCGTCCACCTGGCGCAGCATGGCCTCGTAGTTGAGCAGATTGTTGCGCTGCTGCCGCTGCCGATGGATGTCCTCGGATATCTGCTCCAGATTCTTGAGCGCCTCGTTGTACGTGAGCTTGGCCGCACTGACCTTCGCCTCCAGCTCGTTGACGCGCGTCTTTTGGGCCTTCAGCAGTCCATTGTAGTTCGCTCGCGTCTCGTAGTACGGCCTGCGGTGTCGAGGGGAGTCGGAGAATCGAGGGATTCCATCCGATGGGATTAGTGGTGCTGCGTGAATCTGGCCAAATGGGCGATACTCACGAACAGAGGGTACAATACAAAGCGTGCATAATGCTAAAATATCTCAACAAAAGTAAATTGCGCTTGAGTTGCAATCTAAAAGAAAGAAGTAAACAAGGAAGAAAAGAACGGAAGAAAGAGCAGTCCGCCAGGAGAATACGGATCCGAAAATCAAATAAAAATTATAAACTAATCGCAATCATAATCAAATCAATGCAAACAAAACCTTTAAGTTAAACAAAAGTTGTAAATCAAGACAAAAACTTTAAATCGGCCAAAGCCGAATTTTGGAATTCCAATAGATGTTATTTCAACACACGAGATCAAATCGTTTGAATTCTACAAAAACCCTCTATTCCTTATTTTTTGAAGATGAATCTTCTAAAACTTATTTTTTTTATAATTTTTAATTCAATAGTTTCCGAATTTTTAAAAATTTTTGAGACAGATTCGAACAGTTCTTTAAAAACGTAACAAACTTTTGAACGATATTTATGAAAAATACGAAATAAATAATATATAAATTAATTGAACCCCCGAGACCTTTTTTTTTAGGTCAATCCTCTACTCAGTAGCTTTTTCATTTATCTTATGCGAATTTTAAATTATAGAAATATCAAAAAGTTCATCGGATTCCGGAAAATTATTAAAGAAAGGAATTATTTTGTTAAATTTTGTTAAGGGCCGATTTCTCAATGTCATGTTAAGGTGCTAGTTTCTAATCTGGCATAGAAAATAAACATCAAATCAAAGATTTCGTTAACACAAATTTTCTGTTTTAATGTGAAGTTATTTTAACGAAATGGTTAATCTTTAGATAGATCTTTTAAAAGTTAGAACTGCCAAATTTGATAAACTTTTCTTTCTTTTCTTCTTTGGCAAGCTTTTTGTTATAATTTACGTTTGGACCACTGACATGTTTAAACTTAATGATTGTATCTATTAAAAAGTTTTCAGACATAAATCCCAAACAGTAAATTGACTGAAAGTTAAAACTTGGCATGACGATGAGAAATAGGCCCCCAAATCGATTAGACAAAGTTCAATATTTTCTGGGACATCTAGATATTTCTGGAACACCCACGGACAAATTGATATATCTTTTTGACCTGATTCTTACGATGTGTTTCCGGAACATCAATTTAAGTCAATGTGAAAACTGAATAGGAAATCCGTCCAAACTTGGTTAAGTTATAAAATTTTTCTGGGAAAACAATCGTATAAATGTATATATGCTGCTTTCAAGAAAATAGCTTCAAAACTAGTTTTGAAATAACTTTAACATTTTTTTTTTATATCCTGTTGAAGCTTATGCTATAAACTAAATGGCGAGCATATAAATGTCAACATTTATCATATCATAAGAAATAGGTCAGATCTTAAAAAAACTCTTTGTTCCAATACAAAGTGCAAATAAACGAGTTCTTATGGTTATTTTCTTAAATTTGATTAAAACTATTAACTACAGTATTTTGAAAAGTGAATTTAATAGAATTATTCCCAGAATTGATTTTCCTTAAAAAAGTAAAACAATTTAAAATGTTTTGTAACCTAATTTTCTCATTGATAACTCCAAACGTTAAAAAAAATTAAAACAAAAGTTGTCCCATGCTTTAATGGTATGTTTTGGAGCACTTAACATTGCCCCAATACTATTGTTATGAACGCAGCTGTATGTGCAGCTAAAGTAAAAGTAAAGTTATTATTATCATTATCTTAAAGGCATAGGATCATTTTTTTTTTGTTTAATTTATCATTTTGCTTACTAACCAATAAACAAAATGAGTCTTGAAAAATCTTTTACATTGTTTTAGTTGTTGAACTAAATTAAAAACTATTGATAATTTTTGAAATTGGACTTTTTTTCAAAACAGTACTGAATGAACTTATAACAATTTAAGCAAATAACCATCCTAACACCATTCTGTTGGAATAAAAATGTTTTTAATATCGAACATATTTTTTCAATTTAAAATCTTTTTTAGAAATATTTAAAAATTTGTATACCTATAAATGCCCCATTTAGCTTTACAAAAATATAAAAAAAAAATGGTTTTTTTATCCCAAAGCTGCAAAAATATTATTATTTTGAGCGCAACCGTATATTTTGACCCGCTAATTGCGAACCCAGCTGCTTTATTATTCCCGCCCCATAATAGTTCTTGTTGGAAAGGCAAGTGGACTGTACCTGGAGGCCCTCAGCGCCTGCTTGAGCTGTCCCTGCAGCTTGCCGACCCGGTTGTTGGCCACCTCGAGCTTCAGCTGGCACATCTTGAGGGCGTTGCGGGTGTCGGTGACCTCCAGCTGGGACTGGTTGACCTTGCCGGCGGCATGACTGAGCATCTCCTGGCAGGCGGTGTCCAGCGTGGACTTCTCGCCGAGTCCCTGCTCGGCCAGGTAGACCATCTCCTTGGCGGCGGCGTGTATGGACTTGGCCTTCTCATGGTTGGCCGCCGCCAATTGGGTTTCCTTGGCCAGCTGGGCGGCATAGATGCGCGACTCGTAGTACGGCTTGGCGGCATCGATGGAGTTGCCCAGCTTGTGGGCGGCCGCCTTGATCCGCACCACGCTCTCGGCCAGCAAGCGCTTGAACTCGCACTTGGACTCCTGGATTATTGAGGGGCGAGGATGATGGATGAAGGGTGTTTGAGTAATGGTTGCTTGGGGGGGAAAAATCAATACTCGCCCACTCACATCGAGTTCCACCTCGTAGCGGTTGATGTTGTCGGTGGCGGTGTTCAGCTTCTCCAGCTCGACCTGTGCAATGTCCAAATATAACAATGGAATCTAATTTAGCCAGGCACTTAGCCATATAAACCTACCTGGACCCTAGGATCCACGGGCGTGTTGCTTTCCGTTGACATGGCTGCCACTTCGCGGGGCACTCACTGAATTCTCACTCTGCGGAGGGCTGGAGGGCTGTGGACGCACTGCAGCACACGGGCAGCGGGTTCGGATCGAAGCGGGAGTGGGTCAGTTGCTGTGGCCAATTCGATTCATTGCATTTTCTACTTCATTTCATATTTGCGCACTTAAAGCTCTGTCAGCTGTGAACGTACATATATTTTTTTGCGCAAATATATCGATTACACTTTACATTTGGAGTTAACAGTTTCTGTTAAGTAGCAGTGTACACACTGTGGTGTGTGTCTTTGCTAACTCTTAAGAAGCGGTTGAGAGGCAAAATTATTTTTAAAAAGTGCGCGAAATGAATTTATCCTATAATATGCATTAAGACTAAAAAGTGGATAAGTAATAAGTAAGCTTAAATTGTACGGCAAAATACATTTTTGTAGATATAGTTAAAAAACACACTCTTTGCTAAGTGATTTTTTTATGTAAAATTTATAATTTACTAGATAAAAGGTTTAACTACTAACTAAAATTTTATATTTAAAATACATTTTTAATAGATGTCACCTTGAGACTTGTTGTTTAAAATAATTAAAAGTTTTTCCAAAACTTAATTATATTTTATTGACAATATTTGCAAGTTGTTTGGAAGCAACTATTTGAAACGTTTAAATAAAAATGATAAAAACGAACAGCTGTTCCCATCCCTGGTTAGTTTGTTGTGGTGTTTTTGAGCTTTCCGCAAACGGTCACTCTGTTCGCGCAAAACAAAAAAACTTGAGTTTGTTTCAATTCTTTTGTCGCAGGCAGCACGTAAATAAACCGATTCCAGCGGAGATGCAGGCTCGCAGCAAGTCCGAAATGAAGCCCATACGGAAGGAGATCCTCAATCCGGGCAACGCCTACATCGAGCTGACCCCGGGCACCAGGGTGAGTGGGAAAATCAGCAGGAATGCAGCAAGAGGGGCGGGAGCCAGGGAAACTAGGCCAAGGCCATCCAAGTGGGCGTTCAGTGGTTGGGTGGGTGGTCTGTGTTTGCTGCCCACATCCTCATCGGCATTCCCATTGCAGGTTAAGTTCCACTTCCAGACTCGCCGATCCGGCGACAGCCGCATCATCGACGACAGCCGCAGGATGGAGAAGCCCATGGAGCTTGTGCTGGGCAAGAAGTTCAAGCTGGAGGTCTGGGAGCTGATTGTGCAGCAGATGTCGCTCAACGAGGTGGCCAAGTTCACGGTGCACAAGTCGGTGAGTTACCAGTTACCAGTTCCCAATTCCCAATTCCCAATCCCCAACTGACCGGATTTCCCTGCCACACAGCTCTGCTCCCAGTATCCATTCATATCGAAGACACTGCGTGACATTGGCAAGAAACCGGAGGAGCGACGCCACTGCTGCGGCATGACGCTGCAGAACGAGGGCATCGGTTACAGCGACCTGGACGAACTGCTGCAGCATCCCGCCGAGCTGGAGTTCATCATCGAACTGATCTCCATCGAGCTGCCCGAGCAGTACGAGAAGGAACGCTGGCAGATGTCCGACGACGAGAAAATGCTGGCCACCAGCACGCTGCGCGAGCGTGGCAACAACTTCTACAAGGCCAGTCGGTATGCGGAGGCGGAGACGTGCTATCGCGAGGCCGTGGGCATTGTGGAGCAACTGATGCTGAAGGAGAAGCCCCACGACGAGGAATGGCAGGAGCTGGCGGCCATCAAGACGCCCCTGCTGCTCAACTATGCGCAATGTCGGCTAATCGCCGGCGACTTCTATGCCGTGATCGAGCACTGCAACGAGGTGCTCACCCTGGATCCGCGCAATGTGAAGGCCTTGTTTCGGCGGGCTAAGGCCCATGCCGGCGCCTGGAATCCGACGCAGGCGCGGCGCGACTTTCTCGACGCTTTGGCCCTCGATGGCAGCCTGAAGGCGACCGTCTCCAAGGAACTGAAGGCCATTGAGGATCAGCAGCAGGCACGTAACGTCCAGGATCGCATCCACATGCAGAAGCTGTTCTAGAACATAAGTTGTGTCAACGTGCTGCTCATGCTGCTTGTCTATTGGAGCAGCTACCTGCAGCGCTAGCAGTACCTGTCCCTGCCCCCCATCCTCTCGCTGACCGTCACCTTCGCCCACTTCCTGGTGCTGCTCTGCTCGCTGGCCAACCTCTTCCTCTGCGGCTGGACGCTCAAGAAGCTGCTGCGAGCATTGCACCGGTCCAGGAGGCCATCTGACAATCCACCCGGCTACCAGTTCGTTCTGTGAGCCACCCATCATATGTACTCATCACTCATCCTCCTCCGCCTTGAATCAAATGTAGTGTGTTTCATCGGGAATGTAAGAATGTTGTTCATGTAGCTTTTACCAAATCAAATGTTCCACATTTGTTGTCCATAGTCGTATGTTTGTATATCTATATGCGATATTTACTCGTAGCTAGAATCTACTCTAAGTCTAGACAAATTGTATAAGATGTAATAAATGTGCTTTGGATGATGTCTCCTTGTTGTATGTACATTATTATGCATAATGATGTGCATTTAGCCTAAGTGATTCAATTGTGTAGGCTTATTGACACTACTAGTATAATTTGTATAAAATAAATAACCACATAACTATACGCTTTAGTTGGACAAAAGCATTTGCATTTCACAAGACTGCATTTTAATGTATGGCTCACAAGATTATGGGTTTCTAAGATATAGTAATAAGCTCAGACATACGAAATGGTTTTTTAGGTTTGTGGTCAACTGATAAATAAGCTAGCTCTGACCGAAATAGGATTTTTATATTAACAAAGTGTCAAACGAAATACTTTTCGAGATAATTTGTTATATATATGTATGTATAATAACGTCGAATTTCACACCCTGATTTATACACTTTTTGATAGAGTTACTATAAAGTTTATATCTAATTATGTACTGTGTTTCTTGCGCTCTTTTTATTATATTGTATATGCTTTTTTTTTTTAAATCCAGAATTATATTCTTTTTCTAAGCTGTTTAAGTGATAAAGATATTTGTACCCTATAATTCATTACTGTCTTCGTGAGTGCTATTTATACAAATTGATTATGCTGTTTGTTATAATTTTGTCTAAAGAAACACTTTAACAAAGGGCAACAAAATGAGTCTAGCTAATTTAAACCATTAAATGTATTGTGGTATATAATTCTTACAAGAATTATGTAATGTTTTTTAATCTGTAATTCGAATTTTTAACTAATTAACTAAGGAATGGAACTCAGAGAAGAGTAAAAACTCGGCTTGATGAACCATAAATGGGTCTTCATAACCAAATCCTAATATTCCCACTGTTAAAGATTAAGACATTTTGATCTTAAACAAAATTATATGGGTTAATCTTGAGCGTTTAGAAACATAACCAAGTAAAGCTTAAACTAAATCCCAATACAGATGGCAGAGAAGCTTCAATATTAAGTTCGATTTACTAATTTAAAAATCACGATTAAGCGGCTTCGTTAACGAGTAATATACACAATAAATACACGAAGATTACGGACTAAGAAAATCTTTGGAGAGCAGTGAGTGAGTGGAATCGATCCTAGAGTCGCCACAGGCGACTGCTGTTGCCGCCGGTGGCGCCTTCGGCCTCGCCGCGCAGCTTGTTGTCATCGGTGCGCCAGACGAAGGGCTCCAGGCGGTCCTCGTCGTCCAGGAAGTTGTTGATCGCCTCCAGGCTGGCAATGTTCTCGTGCAGCAGCGAGTTGCAGCGACTCAGCTGATGCGAGACGCTCCGGATCTTGGCAAACTGCTCGGCATACGAGGCGTACGTCTTCTGCATGTCCACGAAGCCGGCGAACAGCGTGGTGATCGAGTTGCTCACCACTTTGGTGCGCTCCACCAAATGGTTCTGTTCGCTGGCCACATAGCTGGCGCACAGATTGAGATGCGTCTGCATGCGGGCACAAATGTTGACCAGATGCTGCGAGTTCAATCGCTCCAGAATCTCCGCATCGCGCGTATACGTGGCCGAGGTGATCGATTCGCGGAGCACGGGCAGGAACTGCGGTATGTTGCGCAGCCGGGCCAAGTCCAGGTCCACATCCTCGCCAGCATCGCTGGCCCCGGGACGCACGATCACAATGTTGTGACTGGAGGCCGTCGACTGCGGCCGCTTTGGCTTCACCGCACTGGTGAATCCGCCCGGATGCGACTTCCGGGCCGCCGCCCGACTGGCGCTGCTCTGTTGCAGCATGTGCGCCGGCTTGCTGCGGATCTTGGGCGAATCGCCGATGGGTCGATCCGTGTAGGAGACGTACGGCAGATCGGAGCACACGCTCAGCGGTGGCGAGGGCGGCCTGCTCAACTCGGAGCCGCCGGGTGAGGCCGCCTCGGCGATGATCTGCTTGCTGGCTATCACAATGCTGGCGGGGCCAGGTGCTCCTGGGGCACCTGCTACTCCTACTCCTACTCCTCCTCCTCCTACTCCTCCTCCTGCTCCACCACTGCGATGAGCCAATCCGCGTCGCTTGTTGGCTGCCACTGTGGCCGCCAGCATCATGGAGCTGGAGCTGCCATCGGCCAGCGATGCTCCTCGCTCCAGCGTCTGGCGCCCATGGCCATCGAAGATCTCATGGCCATCGGCCTCCGCCCGCTGCTGCGAATGCTCGGCGCCCATTTATCGATTGGTTAATCTGGTTAATTGATTGCTATTGCTCCGATTGAGGTGCGCCCTACGTCGTGGAAGTTTAGAGTGCTCCTGGAGGTGTCACTGCTGCTGCTGCTGCTCGGCTCCACACATTTGCTGCCTCATTTTCAACAGCCTTCAAGCTTGGATTCGCAAATTCAATCGTTAAACAAATCAAAATGCAGTTTCAGCAAAAAGGAGCAATTCGCAACAAAGTTCCAATAAGATCCTGAAAAATACCAAGGCGCAATGGTGGGACGCACTAGTGCTTTTTATTGGCTTGCAAAAAAATACTGCTGCTTTGGTATTTAAATAGTGAGGAAAATGAAACGGTAAATTCTTAACACTTGGGCATTTTTTATTATTAAATATTTTCGAAATTACGAAAACAAATTGAAAAATATAAAACACACAAATCTTATTAAATTAAAAAAAGAAATGCTTTACAAATAAAATTCTATTAGACTTTAACAGCCAATTTCAGAGTTTTAAGAATTGGGTAAGCCAGCATAAATTTTAATTTAAGCTTTACGAAAAACAACAACTAAAGCAAGCTTAGTAGATGGAGTTTTTGTTTTACTTATGTTGACATTTAATTCAAATAAAGTCAAAACGCCAGATAAATGATAAAAACGAAAATGTCCACTGGTCAATGTTAAAACCAAACGAAACTAATGATCCGCTAGAATCAGTTGCGAATTACAGCTTCGACTTTGAACGGTCACTACTTGAATGTTTATTTTCCTTAGTTAAGTATTTACTTAAGTTCGAGTCGAAGCTTCACTGTACAAATAGAGAGTGCGTCATTAAGTGACAGATAAGCGATAAGTTCTCTCTAGCTTCTGTATGGTACTAGTACTATATGTGTCAGTTTTGTTGTGGCTGTCGTTCTGGCTGGGATCTTTGACGCCTCGCATCGCGATTGAGGTGCTAATTCAGCAATAGATTTCGGTTTCAATTTCAGTTTTAGTTTCAGCTTGCGTTTTGCATTTACTTCGCGAATATTCAGCAGCTGTAGTTCGCCGACGACCGTGAGCGCGATAGCAACACTTTCACCTAGCGAAGCGGATCGCAATGGTGAGCCAAGAGCAAGGTTTTTTGTAAATAATCTTATCGAACCATCGATCCTCACCTACAACTATAAATTATTGTGCCATAATGAGTACATTAACTGCTTGAGTTACTTAAAAACAGTTTGAATAATTCAAATGAAATGTGTGTATAAATTGATATTCCAACAGACCGCTTACAATTTTTGCCCAATTATTTATGTGGTTCGGTTGTATATTCTTCAGATTTAAAAAAAAATATTTGAAATAGAAGCACTATGATTTTGATCTTAAACAATTTTGAAAACTAAAACTCGTATTCCTAGGTTTTGAGTTCAAAAATATTGGGAAACAGTAATGTTTTATTTTCTCAAAATTCGGACTGGAAAAAAAATTTTATGTTAAACATTTCAACATGTTTATTGATTTAAAGGATTGAAAATTTGTTTTTCATTGCCATTTGACAAAGGAAACATATAAGAAGACTACATAAAATAAGAATGTACATTTAAGCTAATAACTTTTGAAATAATGGTCCGATTTGTAATGTTTTTATATGAGTCGATGGATATTAACCGAATAAACCTATAAAGCTTAATAACTCACCTCTATACAGAGAAAATTCTGACGACTCAGAATATCCTCAACTTGAGGATACACTCATTTTGAGGATATACTCATACTAAGAAAATTTGTACTAATTTTAAGAAAAAATACTTAAACTGAGGATATATTCTGAATTTGAGAAAAAATGTGCTAATAATGAGTCAAAATTTTCGTGATCTAGCGGTCTGAAATGTCTGGACCAGAAAGGTTTTGAGGTTCCGAGTTCACTTCGAGCTGTGTGATTTCTTTTTTTTTTGTTATTCGTTGTTTTTGTTTTTTTTTTATTAATGCTTATTTATGTAACTCTTTATCATTTCTAAAAAATACCGCAAATATTCGCCTTTTGAAATAAAATAGTTGTGCGGCTTAAGCTTAGTTAAGGCTTACATCTACAGTGCGAAAGGTTCCGAGTTCAATTCTCAGTCGAGGTTATGTGCTTTTCATTAAAATATTTCGTAAGTAAAATGATTTCATTTAACACGGAAAATAATAATAAAACATAATGTAAAATAAACAATAAAGTTGAAAGATTTATTTTGGTAGATTCTCATTTTGAGTTTTTCATTCTTGAAAATTTATACTCAAACTGAGTAAAATGGTCTCAAAATGAGAATTTTTGCTCTTGGATTTTTTTTTGACAACGAATATTCTCAGATTGAGTGCAATATACTTGATTAATTTTCTCTGTGTACCTCATATCAGAGTGCCGTGACAGACTATCGCGATTTGTGGGCGTTAGAATGGGCGTGGCCATATTTTAAAACAAACTTACGCAGCATGTGCATAACTAGAATCTACATTTTAAGTGTCCGAATCTCAAGCTTTTAAAGTTTCCGAGATCTCGACACTAATATGGACATGGCTAGATCGAATTGGCTATTGATCTTGACCAAGAATATGTTTATATTCTTTATAAGGGCGGAATCGAGTGACGGGTATAAAAATAACAAAATTCCGAGAAAGTGTAAACTCAATAATTGTTTATATAATATTTCCATAGGCCAAGCCACAGCACATTCTGCAGCTGAATGAGGAGCAGCGGCGCAGCTTCGTCGGCTCCTTCGACCGGGTGCTCAGCGACATCGATGGCGTCCTGTGGACCTTGGAGCACGATGTGCCGCGGGTGGCCGACGGATACGCTGCCCTCGAGCGGACCGGCAAGCAGCTGACCTTCGTCACCAACAACAGTGTGCGGACGGTAGAGCAGTGTGTGAGGCGCTTCGCCAAGATCGGGATGCAGGTGCGACCGGAGCAGATCTGGCATCCGGCGCAGTCCATCGTCAACTATCTGCGGGGCATCAGCTTCCAGGGCCTCATCTACATCATCGCCAGCCAGCCGTTCAAGGCGGTGCTCCGCGAGGCCGGATTCCAGCTCCTGGACGGGGTGAGTGTCATCAAGGACCAAGAAAATGTAAAATTTAACACTAGATAGAAGCAGCTACACTGGTAAAAAAAAAACGTAGAAAATTCAAATATTTTTTAGCCAATTGAAATATTTTTCGCTCTTGCTTAAATCCATTGCTGTTTTTAGTTATAGTAAATACGAAAATATAAACAATTTTTTTATAATTTTTTATTTGATTTTAAGGGTTTGTATTGCCATTAAACTGGTTGATCAATTAAATTTCGTAATCTTAGATAATTAAGCTTTAAAATTATAAGAAAAAAACGTTTTATGAAAATTAAAAATTTAAATTGGGAGTAACCGTTTAATTTGTGCAAACAGGTTGCTTAAGAAGGCAAGTCAGTTTTTAAATATGCATACAGGATAGAATTACGCTTTGATTTGAAATTATTAGTCAGGAAAATTTAAAATATAACAAAATATTTGAGACTCGATAATTTCAATTACATTTTGATCATTAAACCGACATTGTTAATTTTTATGATTTTACGTAAAATATTTTTTAGTACACGATTTTCTCGCTTTACTTTTAAAGACCTTATTGACTAAAAAAAAAACATTTTAATTTTTTATATTAAAAAAAAAAAAATAAATATTGCATAAAACAATAAACTTATGTCGAACGTTCTCACTTCAGTTATATTATACATTCCTTATATTTTTGTAAAATGTATTATTTTTATTTAATTATTATTATTTTAGCAATATTTTTTTTTTATATTAAATTTTGAATATTAAGAAATTTAAAATACTCGCCTTAGCCCAACGAGTTCATCGAGGAGAACTACGAGAGCCTGGCCAAGCACATTTTCGACCGACAGCCGGTGCGCGCCGTCGTCATCGACGTCGACTTCAATTTGACCTCCCCAAAGTTGCTGCGCGCCCATCTGTATTTGCGGCACCCGGAGTGCCTGCTGATCGAAGGCGCCACCGATCGCCTGCTGCCGGTGTCCAAGGGCGTGAACATCATCGGGCCGGGATCCTTTGCCTCCATCTTGGTGGAGGCCAGCGGCCGGGAGCCCATCACGCTGGGCAAGCCGGGTCGCCATCTGGGCGAACTGATCGTCGAGCACTACCGGATCGAGCAGCCCGGCCGAGTGCTCATGGTCGGCGATATGCTGGCCCAGGATGTCGGCTTTGGGCGACAGTGCGGCTTCCAAACGCTGCTCGTCCTCAGCGGCGGCTGCACGCGGGAACAGCTCCTGGCGGAGACGGATCCCCGCCACATTCCGGACTACTTTGCGGACAGCATGGCCGACGTGGCCCAAATCCTGGGCGAAGGGCCCAAATCGCATGTCTAGTCGTACTCCGCCAACAACTAGCAAATGAGAAATCTGCACTGCTAAAAAAAAAGTAGTATATCCAAATATTCTGTACTCAATTTGTATAGTTATTTTAAACATGAAAATATTACATTTTTTTTTATTTTTTCAACTGACTATTTTCGGAATTGATTTCAATATGTTTCACGTTGGTTAAAATATTTTAATATTAAATCATGCAATTCAATAAGCACTGTATTTAATACTTTGATTTAGTATTTAATTTGAATATTAAATATAAAATTTTTAACTCAATAGTCAGATATATATTTTTTTACTATACCATTTTTTTGTGTCATGATTGCTATTAGCACAAACCCGTATTTTATTCGTTATCTGAAATATAACTCACTAAGCTAACAAAACTATAATGTGTATTTATAACTTAGGGATTCCCGGTAATTGATATCAAAGATATATTTAATGATGTATATAATCGTCGCAACGATCGGAATTCATGTATGTACATTAAGGCGGTTTTTATAAGGAATTTTACCCTCAACCTTTTAAATGGTAGATATTGGAGCAAAATATATTTAATTAATATCCAAACTATTTTAAATTAGGTTTAAGGCCTTGCGCAATGTTCTCAAAGTTTCCATAAGAATTACTCATACGCCACGTAAACCAGTATAAGAGTAATACGTTTTTTCTTTTTTAAATGCACCAAAGCGCAAAATATAAGGGAGTGAGAGTTGGGCCTTCGATTTTTTCATACAAAAAAAACCACCCTAATGTACATATATACTGGAGTCGAATAGCATTACCTAAAATATACATAGCTCACTCTAAACAAAGAAAACCATAATAAATATTTATAACTTGAGGATTCCGGGAAATGTGTTTTTAATGATATCAAATAATGATGATATATTGTTGATACTAGAGCAAAGAAACTACACTTGTAATTTGTGTAACAGGTGTGAGCAAGCGATTTCAGGCATATATGTATCCATTAAATGTATCTTAAGGTGGTCCAACTTAGATTTTAAGCTGATTTATTCTAGCGAAATTAATTTTTTTGTTTGGAATAGTTTTATTGCGTTTGGGTACGCACATTTAATGGTGAAAGTATTGTTTTTTTTTTTTAACCATCCATATTTATGTATATATAATAGCCATACTAACACAACACCCCACTTTATTCGTTATCAAAATAGAACTCACTTTAAGCAAACAAAACAAGATTACTTAGAACTAAAGAGAGATTGGGTTGAAATCTAAAACACTTTTTGTTTCTGCCTGTTTGCCAACAACAACAACAACGTTCACTTGCCGGTAAGTTGTTTAATATAAATAGTATATCAACAACCAAATCAAACACTTGAAAGCCTATCAAGTTGAATGCGTCGAGTCAGAATTACTCGATTGCGGCTTTTCGATTGGGGGCCATCTGCCCCAGGTAATCGACCAGATAGTCGGGCATCTGGGGATGGTCAGCCGGAAGTTGGCGGACATCCTCCAACTTGGTGCCGCCCGTGAGGACGAGGAGGGTGCGGTAGCCACTGGCGCGGGCGAATCCGATGTCGCTGGCCAGACTGTCGCCCACGAAGAGCACGCGGCTGGGCGGGATTTCCGGATGGCGATCCAGCAAAAGCCTGCGCAGATCCTCGCCTGGCTTGCCCAGAGTAATGGGCCGACGACCCACGGACTGCGTCACTACATCTATAAAGGCTCCAGGTCCTGTTGGGGCGAAAAGATATACAAGAAAATCAAATTGTAGTGTATAACTCAAACCCATAACTTTTCATTAGATTGTTTAAATTTCTTTGCTATTTTGTAGTTATTAAATGTTCTATTAATTTAAATAAAAACTTAAAACCTTAGATCGGAAATCGTAAAACTAACTTAATTTTAGAAAAACGGGCTGGTAAAAGGGGCTCGTTTTATTTTTCAAGAGTCAACAAAATTGGTCTTTGTAAAAGTTGCAGGCTTCTTGGTGCAACAAAATGTTAGTACTAACTTATCTAAGCATATCTGTATACTTAATTCTCGTTTCTAACGCATGGTACATATGTGTGATATCCCGTTAAGAAATAAATAATAACATTTAAAGTTTGAATTTAAGATATCTTCGAGAGTGTGTGATCCAATACATTGGGACTCTTAAATATTTTAGATGTCTATGTATATTTTCGTATTGAATGTTCAATTATATTGTAAGTAAAACTAAAGCTATGAATATTTTAATCGATGTGTTCACCTCCTTTCACAAGGCATTTCATGTGGTGAACAGGCATTAAAAAAATATAAAGAAAAATGGCTACAACTTTAATTTTTAGATACGTGTAGACGCGGGTGTTTTCTATTTTAAAATACCATTGTAAGTCAAATTTTGTTAATTATTAATTATTTTCCTGAAAATAAATTATTTTATTTTTTGTTTCAAAAGTGTAATATCAACACGGGTTAAAAACGAAAACTAAGCACACAGATATGCTCAGATGACTCTCTTAACATAATTTAATGCCCATTGGCCTGCACTTTTAAACTATTACAGATATCTTGATTTTTCATTGTTTTTCAAATAAAAACAGTTAATACCAAAAAATGTTATAGATGTACATATAAAAGTTATATTATATCAGCTAATAATTTATCAAAATATAAACTTTGTGTAAAATTTATACTATGAAGTTTTCAAAATATGAAAGCTAATGGAAAGGATAAACCAAAATGTTCCTTTTAATGAACTGTTTGGTTTTAGGGGCATCTCATTTTTAATTGTAATGCTGGGTTTTTTACTGTATTTATTTGGGGGCTGTACAATAGCTTGCCAAAGAAAGATGCTCACCTATAATCTCGCCCTTTCCGAAGGGTATCAAGGCATCTGCTGCTCCGGCCAGAAAAAGGCACTTGGGATCCTGCAGTTGGACATGGGCGCGCATCATTTTGGCCGCCGACAGGTTGAAGTCCACATCCATGATGACGGCCTCCACCGAGTCGCCGCCAAATATGGCCTCGTGCAGATCCTTGAGGCTCGTGATGACTCCGGTACCGCTCTATTGAGATGCCTTCAAGTGATCAAGAATCTTACGTCTAATTTTCGGTCACTCACATCTTCGGTCAGGCGAAATCCGGCATCCACAAGGACTTTCTTGAATGGGGGCGTGGCCAGACAATAAATAAGTCCCTGGAAGTTAATGGACTTCAAATGATCGCAAATGGTTTGAGCTGGGTGAACGATTTGATGCTGGCAATAGGAAGATAATTTAGTTAATTCACACAGAAATTAACATGAAATTATACTATAGGCAACTGATCCGACAATTTGGGCACATAGGAGGTATACGTAATATCTTACAATTATACTATCTTTTATTTATATTAGCTCCTGAAATAAATTATATGTTCAAAGTTTAAAGGTTCAAAGATTTGTTGTGTTATTAATATATGACAAAAAACCTTTTTTTTCTTTCGAAAAATAATAACATTTTGTATAAATTGAGTTTAATTTGTTTTTAATTCTTGAAATTATATTTTAGAAAGCAAAATCCCAATTCTGAATTTCCAAATTATTTGAGAAGTTATAAAGAAATTAAGTTTAAGATAATAAATGAAATCAGTGCTAGCAGATAAATATATATCACTCTTACACTTTTTGTTTAGCACGTCAATAGCGGGTAATTAATAAACGGATACAGAATTTTTTCTGGTTTTTAGTACAATTTACAATTATATATTGCATTTTAGTTCCTACGAAAAGCGAATCACTCACCTCGTCAATCTTAAGTTGGCCCTGTTTATCGAATTTCTCGATGTGCTCCTTCACCGAGCTGATGCTGTTGTTGGTCACAAAGGTCAACTGCTTGCCAAGATGGGCCAAATGGGCCAAGGCTTCGGCTGAGCCGGGTATGAAGTCCCGCAGGGGATACCAAACAACTCCTTGTGGGATAAACGCAAATAAAGCTGTCCATAAGGTGTGAGAAGACATCGAACTCACCATCGCAATCGCAGAAAACCAAATCAAATGAGTCGAAGAACTCCACAAGCTCTTTTTCACTCAATGACTTAAGATGTTTGGCCTGTGAAAGACTTAATTACCTTACCATTTGGAGGAATACAAATAGATCAAGCTTAACTATCCAATACCGACTATTAAGAATTTGTTCTAGATCTAAATATCTTAAAATCGGCTTATCCAACCAGATAATGATACTGATATCTTTGTTGTTATTGTGCTTTTCATTTTACCTACCGAACTCATTATCTTTTGATAGAAAAACGACACAAATCCGGATCGAGATGAGGGGATTTCACGGGATTCCGATTCCTCGGCTTCAGCTTAAAGTTCCAGTCCAGCGGTGCGACAACCACATTGCCGGCGACAGATTTGTAACTAAGTCCAAGACGAGACGAGCGTGCCAATCTGGAAGACCCAACCAAGGAGCATAGTTAGTTGGCTGTGGAATGGTGGGGGAAAGGGGGCGAGGGGGTTTTGCGATTGGGCGATTGCATTACACATTTCAAATTGCATTAGAGCAGCGGCCAGCGCAGCGCAGCACAGCACAGCTCAGCCCCGGTCCGGTCGCTTCAGATTGGGGACGCGGTAAGTGGCTCACACTGCACGGAAAAGTATCGACATGGGTATCATTTCCAGGTTAGGGCGCCATCTGGCGGTGAAGTGTATTAATGTTCTAGTGCTGACGTCATTAACAATTTTAAACATAGTTTGGTAACAACTTTTGAAAAATTGGTTCGATTTGGCAAGTTTTCGGCTAGATAATAGATATTAACCGAATAAATATATGGAGACCAGCAATTTGTAGAGTTTTAAATTTTTTAAATAATCTTTCATCACGAGATTCTCTAGCTTTAATAGTTTGTACGATCTACGAACGGATAGATGGACGACCATGGCCAGATTGACTCGGATATAAATTCTGATCAGGAATATATATGCATATATATAATTATATAAACTTTACACAAAATTACTAAGTAGAGCTATTTATAGTATTTTGAATGCGTCAAAAATTAGCTGGGAAATTGATTTGAAAACTCCATCATAAAACTTTTTCTGGGAAAGGGCTAAGATTTGTTAGCAAATTGGATGCGATCTATAGCTCTTAATATTCTTTAACTTAAACCAAAGGTTCTTTGTAGCTCAAAAATATAAATTTCCAGTTCGCGCAAATTGTTCTTATATTTTAAATTTTATATTTAGATATATAATTATATATATCTTTGTTAAATTATATTCCCTGATCTGTGTTCCATCGTAAAGTAAAAGGCCTCAATTTATAAATTATTTAAATGTTTTTGCTAGCCGGCTCGATATTATGTTATTTTAATTAATTAATCTAAAAAATAGAACAACTTTCAACAAGTGTAGAGGTTGCAAAAAATCATCGTTATATACAAATAATTTTATTTATTTAAATTACTTCCAGCGTCCCAGCATCGATAATGGCAGCTGATAATAATTTACTGTGTGACTATTTAATTTGAAAAACAGAGAGTTAGCTGAAAATAGCACAAAGCGATTTGCATTTTCCAGGGAATTCGTTAGAATTGTGAATATTTGATTTTGTTGTGGCTTACGCCATTGAAACCCCATAAATATTAGTTTAAGTGCAGTAACACCTCAATCGTTCGTAATCCGTGGGGTGTGTGAGCTGCCAAGGGAATGTGGGTGAGCTGGTAATTGGTGTCTCTGTCAATTGAATGCTGTTCAGCCAAGCAGCGTTCCAATTGACTTGCTTTCATCGCCTTTCAATTGAGCTCATTTTATAACATCTTGTACTTCCTGTTGTCTTTATAAAAGAATATAAATAATAAATATCTGAAATAAACTTACTTTATGAGTATCGTATCTAGTACTACTAGATTGCCATGAAATAGCCAATATATTTAACTATATCTTGTTTGTTCTAGACCTGCCATTTAGCCCATTAAATGTTCGTTGCAATCATTGTTAACATTAATGGAGTTAAACCCATTTTTATTTGTTTTCTATTTTAAGTTCACATGCAGACCGGACCAGCACACAACACAATTCGTTTCTGGCTTAATCTCTATCGTAATCGTAGTTGCTATTGTTATCGTATAAATATGTTTATCAAAACAACAATTCACTATAGGTGTACGCACTGGTAAGTAGCATTTAGAGTTCTACAAAATATTGCGAAATGTGCAATGCTCTCGCTTGGCAATAATCATCAACAATTTAATTAAAAACAATGGATTAGAGGGAGAGGATGAACCATATGTCTGAGTTCGCTTTTCGGTTGTGGGTAACATTGTTAGGTACATTGGATTGTTTCTTAGTGTTTAGTGTTAGCACATTTAACTTGCACACATTTTGTGGTGTATAATTCGTTTTGTTTATGGATCCCTAACCATCATATCATATCATATCATAACATTTAACGGTTACGATTTTTAAATTATAAATACTCGTTGTTAATGCACTTTGGACGTGTGTATATAATGTAAAAATATTTGTATATATTATTTTCTGTGTGTACGGGATGGTGATTCAATTCTCTTGGCTCTTTCCGGGAGTTGCGTGAATCTTTTATACAAAATACAACATACCCAATTCGATTCGTTTGGAAAATCAAGTAACAATATAAAACCCTATTCGTGTGTGTGTGTGTACGTGTGTGTGTGTGTATATAAAAATGCAATTGCTTGTTTCGGGGGTTTTGGACTCCCCATATTCGTTGAGCATTTCCCATGCAAACACAGTACAAAAATCATCTTAAGTACGAAGCATAACTTCCATGCGATAACGATGGGCGACAATCCCTGGATATTCGCGTGTCGCTATATATACAAAAGATCACAAGCTAACTACTACGTGTACTGGAGAAACCAAGGAATGATCTGAGGATCACCTCACACAAAGGACGTGGCATCGTTGCTCCTGCGGGTCAGGGTCTCATTGTCTCTCTGGTGCGGGCGTGGTCCACTATTCGACTTCTGAAGACTTCCGCCGCCCACTTCCGTTTGGGCCATCTTCATGGCGTGCTGCTTCTCGTACTCGATGATGTGCTCCCGCAGCAAGAAGTTCTCCCGCTTGATGCGCTTCAGCAGGCGACCCGAGACATCCGGAACTGCCCAGCGCAGGATGCCCTGCAGCATGGTGATAATGTTCTAAAATAAGAATATAAATATTAAATATAAAATCAAATGTTGTCGGATATATTATCATAATTTGATTTCCTTTACTTTACAACACTTTCTCTAATATCATATTATATGGTATATTTTTCTTTCAACAGTTTCAAATTACTGAATTCAAAGTACTAAAGTTCTAAAAGAAGAATATATAATATGAAATGTTGTCGGATATATTATCAGAATAAGACTTTCCTTAATCTAACACTACTATCATATTATATTGTTCAATTTTCTTTCAACAGTTTCAAAAACTGAGTTAAAAGTACTTAAGTGGTGGGATAAATAAAAAAAAATTCAAATCTATTGTCGAAACGCATGACCTAAGCTCCTCAAACTCCAATCATGTGCTCTAGTTTACCTATTAAAGTATTATTTTTTATTTGAATTATTTTGTTTTCTTATGTTTAAAATTAATTTAAAAGGTTTAAGCTTTTAAGTCAGTTAAGTAGCTAAGCAAAATATAAATTTATAAAATAGGTGCACTGGTAAAAAAAAAACGTAGTAAATTCAAATATTTTGTACTCAATTTAAAGATCTCTCGCTTTGATTTTCATCAATGTTTAAATATTTAACATTTTTTATTAGACTTTTTTCGAAACTGATTTTAATATCTGAAATAAAATGGTTTTAAATCAAAAAGTTACTTTTTTAAATCTATTATTTGTCACATTGATATTAATATTTTAATATTGCATCATGCCATTTAATATGCTTTGCATTAATAATATGATTTAATATTAAATTTAAATATAAAATGTTGAATTTAATAATTATTAATTTGTTTTTACTATTTAGTGTTTATGTCAGAGTGGAAGGGCATTCATTTATTTTCTTGTAGCACTACCCTGACGAGCTATATGTATATATATATAATATAATGTACTTTATATATATAATGTAATATGTACTGTTTTCAGTTTTTCGCCATCAAAAACAGTGTGTAACCCACCTGGTAGATGACTATGAAGGCCAGCCGACCCGTCAGTATCTTCCAATATATCATGGGGCGTTTGTAGGGATGGGGATCGGTCGGCGGGTTGCGGAACTCCGTGTAGCGGCACACCGTCTCGTTCACATGCTGACTGCCTCCCAGCAGCGGTTGCACCTGGAAGTCCTCGGTGTTGAACACGGCCAGCGTGAAGTTCAGGTAGTTGTTCAGCTCGTGATCCCCCATTGAGGCGGCGTACACGATTTTCGGTATGAGGTTCGTGCTAAATGCAATTATCATTGCCTGCAAGGCGAAACATAAAGATGGTCTTAACACCGAATCATGGGGAAAACTACGCATTGGACTCACACTCGAGGCCACGGCTATCCGGGTGACGACGGTCATGATGCTGTGCCAAACGCCAATGTCCCGGGCTCGCATTCCCACTGGTCGTCGCAGGAAACGGAGCATCTTGATGGCATCCAGGCGCACCTCTATCACATTGTTCAGCAGGGCCAGCAATGGTGCCAGCGGAAAGGCCAAACTAAACAGGGTGATGAAGCCAAATTGCACAACTGCAAAGGAAAGGAAACACTATTAGGAGACAGGCATCTATAAAGACCAATTAAATAAATAATATTTTTTACCCTTTTGTTTATTTCTAAAATCAAAAAATGTTTGCAGGCCTAAAGATATTATTTTATTTAAATCAAGAATTTTATTTTTCTCCTAATCTTAAAAATACTCTGTTATTATGATACTCAATTTTGTCAATATTTAAGTAGTACATATGAATTATTTATATTATTTAAAATTTTACTCAAACCGTTGTGACTAACGCAATAAATATAAGTCTCCTTTTTACCGTAAGGATATGAATAAGAAAATTGTATATGCCTTGTGACTATATTGAATACAAACAAGAAAAAACGCTATAGTGCCTGATACTAAGCTTATCAACTACAAAATAGAAATGCCCCCAGAAAATAATTTGCGCCATTTAAACTCTAAAATAATATTTTTTTTCGAACAAATTTTCTAACTACCAATATATATGACCGAGATGTGAGAAAATTGTTTTTTTACACTTTTTATGTGATTTAAACCAGCTTAAAAAATACAATTTTAAATATTTTAGTATAAGCCATACAAAAAAGGATCACCTTTCAATATAGCTTTAAATGGCGCAAATCGGAACAATATAATTGCTTAAATGGAAAACATGGAAAAACTAGAAAAAATTGTTTCAGCAAGCTTTTCTAATAAAATAAATATTGTTCGTATGAATACACATATTTTTTACACATATTCGACAAACATATAGCTTTAATTATTTATTTAATTATTTAAATTAATTATTATATTTATATAAAATATTTTTATTAATATCACCTGACTTAGGGTCGATTTCTTGATATCATGCTAAGGTCCTAGTTCAAAGATAGTTCTAGTTTTAAAGATAGTTAACATAAAGTCACATTTTTCGGCAAAATTAATCCGCTTTCTCGAGGCTATAAACTTTTAAATATAACTCTTTCTCTAGCTAAAAGTTCAGTCAGATAAAATTTAACATCTTTAGAAAGAAATATTGCACCTAATATTAAATCTGAGGATACCATTACAAAATCGGAGCTTAGCGGAACAAATTTATTCCGATCTTCAGTCACCATGTTCAGTTACGTTTCATGCAATCTATGTAGTAAACTATGTAATCGCAGCTCATTGAAGGCACACATTTATCGAGTTTTTATTCCCTGGAGACTGTGCTGTATCATTGTTTGCTGCCCAACTAAATGTGATAAGTTCAAAAGTGTCTCACCCATTTCGAGGTACTCCACATAGAGCGAATTGTTCTCGGCGGGCAGTAGGTTATAGTCCTCGGTGAACTGGTTGTAGGGCACCAGTCGCTGGTCCTGGTGACTCTTGTACCAGCCGTGGCGGTAGCTGAGCTCCTTGATGGTGCGCATCAGGTAGGGTATGAGCATCTCCACGATGGCGTTGACCGCCTGCTTGCCGGCCATGATGATCACCAGTTGCATGCAGAGCTCCATGAGGCAGCCGCCAGGATTGCACTCCTCCTGGCGGAAGCCCAGCACGCGATTGTATTTGGCCGGATAGCCGACGAACTTGCCCTTGAGGAAGGCGATGTAGAAGAGCGATGAGTAGTAGTTGACGAACTGGAACACATAGTTTTTGATGGTCAGGCTCTCGTCGTACTCCGTCTGGGTGCGACAGTACTCGTAGTTGGTGAGCTTCACGGCCAAACTGGAGTAGACCATGTCCAGCAGCGAGATCACAATCAGATCGATGATGCCCGCCGTCATGGGCAGGATCATCACCTTGAAGGTCATCGAATTCTCGCTGCCCAGAATGCTGTGCGAGGCTCGCTGTGCCATTCTGTAGATGATTATCCCAGCTATGGCAATGACTGATATGCAAATCTAGGGAAAAACCATAGAAATGAGTACTCAGTCGAACAGAAAAGAGAGGTATTCCTATCGCAGTCATAGGCCCTTTGATTCACATTTAAAAAATATGTTCGAGTAAATCCTGTCGAAAATATTAGAGGTTCGAATGGCTCAACACGATCTACTTGATCTGATCATAACTAGAATAACTACAAAAAGTTCAGCATTTGAAAAGTACCGAAATGCAATGGACACGATTCTCACAAAAGTGCCCAATATGTTCGTATGAACCAAACCGCGAAATCTTTAGAACCAAAGGATAACTTTATTTCGCGGTTAGAGCCCAAATCATTCAGTTGCGACTAGTCTTTTCCGTGAAGTCCAACCACAAATCGCGAATTCTTAAGAACAAGAGGCCTGAACCTAAGGTGAGTTACACGATTACTGATTTCTAATGAATCAAGTAGATCATAAATGTAATGAGCTATGATTCATAGGAGCTTAGACTTAGGGAACTATGACTCCAATCATGCAGGGCTCTAATACTTACAAACAATATCATGATGCTATAACTAGTGAAGTTGGGCAGGAACTTGATGCTCCAGAAGGGCACATCGGGATCCAGTGTGGTCCGCTTGCCAGTTTGATCCTGCTCGTAAGCCTTTCCGGTCAACCGTCTGGAGCGCGATATTTTGGCCAGGTACTGCGGACGCGGATGCTCCACGTGGTGCGTGAAGCCAGTCAGTCCCCAGCGGTGCACCAGACCCGCCGAGTAGCGCTTCCAGAACTCCAGATACACCACCGCCCAAATGGCCATCGACAGGGCGAACACCACGGTCATGTTGTTGTCTATCAGATAGTTGAACTTGGAGGACGTACAGGTCTCGTTCAGCCGCCAGTAGTCGCAGCTGCGATCGCACTGCGGACACATGATCGTCCCATTGTCATTACATATGTCCCGGCTAATCGGATCGGTGCCCCACGTTATGAAGCCGTACAGGAAACAGAGCAGGCCGAAAATGCTGATGGGGATCAGCATTTGGGTGTAGAATCCCAGCCAAGCGAAGTATAGTGCCACCTTCGCACCAAAGTAGTCTTTAATTTGGTCCAGTGGTTGCAGGCTGCAAAATAAATTGTTTTATAAAAATTAATGATGTTTTTTAAGTATCTTGTTTAGCATGTGTTTTAAATATAGCTCCACTAAGATCAAATATATTATGGGAAGACAAAACAATTATAAATTACCTTTTTTAATAAGTTTCTTGTTTAGCATGTGTTTTAAATATATATGAATATCTCCCGCTCTACCTCTAAGTTTCATTATACAAATTAATTCTTAATTACAATATTTCTATTTTAGCATGTGTTTGAAATATACTTTATTGATTTTTCCCGCTCTCTTTTAAAGTTAAGTTAAATGTTTCTAAAATTGTACAGGCTTTTCTCATTTTTAAAGATTTGTTTCGAATTTCTCTTTGGGCAAAAGTTGCAAAAATAAAATAGTAACAGGTAAGCTTAAATAAACCTGACAATAAAATTAGAGTACATATTTATGTTGTGCTTTCAAAAGAAGGATTAACCATTAATATAAGTTCTTAAAGATAGGTTCAATTACAAATTGTAAAAGGTTGAATTACTATTTTAAGAACTTCGGGCATATTATTATATATTTCTTATATTTCTATATTCTAATTGGAAATATTTTATATTTTAAAAGAATTTTAGAGGAAATTTTAATTTGATAATAGAAATCATAGAAATTTTCGGTTCAAATATGTAAGTATATATATGCAAGAGTACAATTAGTTTGGATTGCAAAAGTGAACTGAACTTCCTTTCTAGTTTAATAACATGTCGACAAAAGTATACTAGGTTATACTTTCCGCAAGTTCTTCCTAATTTTTCAGATGAATGGTTTGTTTTTCTTAATTTAAGCTTGCTTCTAAAACAACTGCTCAAAGCTCCTATTTCACTAAACAACCTGCCTTCTGAGAAATTTCCGTCTAAATAATTCCTACATGAGGATAAACAGTAAATAGTTTATTTTTCTTACTTCTTCGATTTCACTAAACAACTTGCCTTTCGGATAAACTTCTATATAAATATATCATACGTATGTATAAGCAGTAAATGGTTCATTTTTCTTACTCCTCCGATTTCGCTAAACAGCCTACCTTTCTGAGAAATTTCCATTATAATTACAAATAACAAGTACATTTTTCTTACTTCTTCCACTTGGATATGTTGGCCCACTCCTTGAGCAGGCGATCGCGATCGTCCTTCTGCAACAAATCGTTGAGACTGAATGAGTATGGCAACTAAGACGGAAATATGCACTTACATCGTGCAGGGTGTAGGCGCAGGTGTATACGCCATCCTGGACGAGCTTCTCGATGCCCAGATTGTCGGCCGTTTCCTCGCCCTCGACGAAATGCTGTCGCTGGAGTATGAAGTTGATGATGGAGTAGCGGGTGCCGGCGTCGAGGAAGTTCGGATGCTCCGTATCGTACAGCTCCAGGTAGTTGCGGGAGAACTCGAGATGGATGCGCGGTTCGCGTTCCGGGAAGAGGGCCGTATTGAGCTGCACCGAGCTGAACAGGGTGCGGCACATCCGGCTCAGGCAGGTCTTAAACTCATGCGCCGATTCGGCAAAGATTTGATCCTGGCCGGGAATCGGCTTGAGCGGCACCTTGATCTTGAGTATTTCGGCATAGCGATAGAGCACCTCGGCTGGCGCATGGATCTTGATGAAGTGCACCCGCTGCACCTTGTTGTGCTCCAACTGCAGACCCTCGCGCTGCAGATTCGCCTCGAAGATCTCGCACTTGCGCCGGTGCTCCTCCAGCTGAACCTCACCATTGTAGGCCAGCACAAAGTCCACGCTCCGCTTGCCATCATCGAAGCGCCGGTATGTCTAGATATGTTCAGATATAAATATAGAAGATTAGTATTAATATTTGACTAGAGTGAGTCACTACACTCCACAGAGAGTGAGAGAGATCTTAAACATATACATTTGCTTATCATCTAGACGGAAACAAAGCGTGTGGGTGCGTGTGCCTACACTTGCCCCTGGTCAACCAGTCACCCAGTCACCCAAACACCCAATCTTTAGATCACCACCCTATCACCGTGGCGGACTCCTCCTCCCGCTGATCTTTGAAGTCCAGGCCAAGCAGGAGGCAGCATTTCAGCATGATGCGGATGTGGATGCGGATCTGGCTGTGATTGTGGACACCCGAACACACAACCGTCGTGGGCGAGAGGCAATTGTGATTTGTGTGCCATCTGCTCTGCGCAGGCACTGATTTCTCAGCCGTTCAGCCGTTCAACCGTTCAGCCGTTCAGCTGTTGTGCTGCTCCGATCAGCTCCAAAGTGCCTGCCTGCCCGACTCTTAAATACTAGATTACAATATACAAAAGGTTCGCAAAAAAGTGTTCATACCCAATCCCGCAAGCAAACTATAGGAAATAGAGAAATATAAACAAACAAAGGAGAGCGTGAAAGAAGGCGGCAAGAACTTTATCAAGTGCAGAAAATATCATTACAGCAACATTTGAATCATATGCGTGACAAGTGTATGCGTTTGTGTGTGTACAGTGGTCGCTCGATAGCTCGCAAAACTTCTCATATTCCCAAAGATACTCTATTTATGGTTTCGGATTTAGTTTTTAATCTGTATCTGTACTATCAACTTACATTTTTCTGTTTAGGAGTATTGTTCTAATTCTAGTTCGATTCTTAGAAAAGGAAGTTCGAGCTTTAAAGGTATGACTGTATTCTTAACAGCAGTATCATTAATAAACAAATATGTTGTTTATATATTTGGTATATTAAGCAATCCACTCATTTTAATGGCTTCTTATATTATGTCTAAATTTAGAAAATTATACTAAGCACAAAACTGCGCCGACAACATCGTTCAATAAGAATTTTTTTGGATTTTGAACTGAAAACTTTGTTTTGAAATATATTTTGTGTCTCGGCCTACCAAATTGGCAATATAAATAATGTTTAAAACTTCATGATTTAAGTTTTAAAATATATTTTTATCAATTACATTATAATACTTATTTATTTATTTATTTTATATTTTTTTTTGTTTGCTTTTTTTACTTAAACGAAATTTTTTTTATATATTTTTGGTGTTTTAAAGTTACTTTACTGAAATATTGTACCAAATGTAACAAATTTTTCCAGATATTATATAAATAAAATTTTTTTTTGTGCTATGACTTTTTTCTGAATCCTTTTCTTTTTTACCTAAACGGAAATATTTTTAATCTTTTTACTTTATTTAAGTTACTTTACTGAACTGTTGTACCTAATATAAAATATTCATTTTAAGGAATTAATTGGATGCGCTGGATGATAAAGAAATTCAAATGCGAAGGATTCGTAGTGGAAGCGACCACTGCAACACCGACAATTGAGATTCGAGTGCGAAAGCTTGTGCATTTGGAGCACTGGCAATGGGTGAAAGTGAAGGTGAAAGTGGATGGGGATGTGGAAATGGGCTGAAATGACAGAACAACAACCAACAAAAGGCAAACATGAGGGTGTGAGATCGATGTGTGTGCGAGGGATGAATAAGGCATCGGCGGCAGTGCAAAAGCAAAGACTTTTCAACCGAAACAGTTTTTTGAATTTCTTTGGTTTTCAATGCTTTTTATACTATATCGTTGTGGAACGAAATTATTTGAATTTGAACTTGAATTTTAATTTGAATTTGATTTTGAATTGGATCGTATGTTCATGTCGTTGTTTACCCTTGATTTCCACTGGGAGTATGTTATTGGCAATTTCTTATCTTTATTAGAAATGTTGCTACTACTTCTTAACAGACGTCTAGAGACCTCATCGTCAGCACCGCCAGTGCCAGGAGCTCCTCCATCCCCGGTTACCCCGATGCCAGTGGGCAGATGGCCACGCCCATTCTGCAGAGCAATCATTTGGGCGGCGATTGCGGCATCCGTGTGATCGCCACCGCCACCGCCACTGCCGCCATTGAGATGCTCCAATGCCGTGGACTGGCGGTAACCGGGCTGCCAGGCCAGTGCCGCATGCTCGGCGGCAGTGGCTCCGCTGGGCAGGCGCAGACTACCCCGACCCTCGTCGCCGGCCAGGTCAACTGCCGAGTGGTAGATGGTGTTCCGCGACTGCGATATCGACTTGCGGTGCGCCGCTGCAGCAGCCGCCGCCTCCGAGTCCGCCAGCGATATGGTGTCGAAGTACAGGCTCTCCCGCTCGTCCATTTCCGATTCCGGATAGTCGTAGTCGTGGGTGCGGACTGCAACGAAGTGGTCAGTTTGGGATTAGTCAGAAGTTCTGGGACCACTCTGATTACAACTAGATGGGTGCTGATCAGTGCAATTAGATGAGATGAGCTAATAGATGATAGCTGATAGAAGATAGCTGAAGTGGTGAGGCTGTAAGGCAGTGAGGCGGTGGTGAAGGATGAGTTAGTTGTTACATTTTCCCACTCAAACTACAATAAAAAGTGCATAAATACGACTAAGATGTATTCATGTGAGCTAGTTTAAAGTTAAAAAAATTGTATAATAACACAGGTCGACAAAATCAGATTTTTTTTGCCCAAAACTAAGCGCTAGATTACTAAACCGAAACCAAACCACTTTCCATCACGTCCCAGTTGTGAGATAATCGTGGTCAAAGTCTCATGTATTTGACTATTAGAACCATTTTAATAACGACGAATTCTTACTATTCTTTGAAAATTTGTCTTTATGTTAAACAGGAAAACTCTATGTGGGTTTGTTAAAAATTGCATTCTACTAAGTTCATGTTCTCCCTCTTTTTTTATCTGAAATTGTCTTATTTATATATTCTATTTTTAAAATAAATTGTATGTATTTTAACAACAAACAGTATAAAGTCTGGTGGAAATGTAATATTGTTTAGTATGCAAAGTTACTCTACGAGTAAAGAGTATAACAAATTGTATAGCTTGTTTAATAATCTCTTACAAAACAAAAAGTAAAATAAAACAAATAGGCTACATCTTGATTCCAATATACTTATTTTGGCACTTATAAAAGAAAATGTTTTGATTTGAATGAAGATGAGGAGGTGATGGTGATGAGTTCGTTGTTAGATTATAACGACTTAAATTTATTAATGTGAGCTAATTTGCGATAAAACAATTTGTATAACTGTGAAATGTTAAGTGATTCAGCTGATCTTGATTCCAATATAGTTTACTTAGCACTTGTGGGAGAAAAAGTTTAATTTTAAACTGATTTACATTTTTTAACAAAGTTATTTTTAAGTATATTTCAAACAAATACTTGCTTAGCTAAATACATTCGCTTATTACAAATTGATGTATCTATAGGACTATTACCAAAATGACTAACAATAATACAAAAAAGTGAAAAAAACAAAGACAAAAAATAAATAATTTTTTTAGGCCTGATCCCAGTAATGACGAATATTCAAATATGAGAAATGACACAACTTCCATGCTCATAAATAATTTGATCTTTTTACCCTAGAATGTATATATATACACAAAGCTCCGAATTCGTACGTGTGGTAAGTACCGAATTAAAGAATGTATTTTTATTCACATAGAGTATAATTGAGATCTATAGATCATGAATAATAATGAATCATTTTTATTTATATAGAGTATAATTAAGATCCATTGATCATGAATAATTTGGTCTTTAAACCATTATACAATTTAGGGCTTCAAAATTGTATATGGACCGTATAATTAACTTATTTTGTAGGTGTCAATTTTAATACTTTGAAAATAAATATACAACATTTGCTAAAGAACTGGCTTCGTTTCGTTTTCAAACAAATTTAAGGGATGCTTATCTTGAAAATATCATATCGCAAATGGCTGACACATGAAAAACAAATTAGGATGCAGTTGTCTATGCGAACATAGATTGTGCCCCAGTGCTATTAATTGAGATTAAGGGCGGAACTGGACTGGAAATAAATTAGCGTGCCGATTGGGTGTATCAGTCCTCCCAATATTAATTACCGATAAGCCCACAAATCCCGATAGTGAGTCTGTGGCCATGATAGTGGGGAGGATGATGGCATTTGATGGCCCACTAATAGGCGGGCCCAATTTGGAAGCCAACTTTATCGGAGGCCAGCTGTCGCTGAGCTGATACCAATAACCGCCTGACTCATTTAAATGCGGTCAATTACATAAGTGCCCCACAGCGTTATACATATATATACATATATACCCATGAACAAAATGCGTGTGAGAGTTTCGATGAATGAATGGATGGATGGATGGCTGGATGGTTAGATGGGGTGCTACTCTGTTGATGATCAGTTTCCGGCGAAAACTGGGGATGGTATGGTGAATAGTGCTTTTTCGAACTAAACACGGACAAACAAAAAAAAAGAAACAAACAAATCAAGCCTGAAAACCAATTCTAAACAATGCCAAGTCCAAAGATCGCAGTAATATATATATATAGCAATATATACAACTGATCTTGGATACAACGAAATGAAACAAGTTGGGCGGCGATCGAAATGTACATAAGTCAAGAACAAAACAAAAACAAAAAAAATGAACAAATTTGCATGACAACGGGTGCGACGATGTTGGAATTGTTGTTTAGTTGTTTACTCATTAAATTATTTACCCGCCGAATACATGTTTGGTGGTAGAGGAAGAGCGAGGTGAATGTCTTGGCGGCAGTTTTATTTTTTTTTTTAATTTTGTATGGAAGTCGATCCCTCAGCGATCCTGCTGAACCGTCGTATCGAGTCCTGGCGATAATGGCTCCCTCGGCAGATCTTTTGCAACTTTCGCTACTTTCGGCACTTTCTGGGCGACTGCGCAGCGGCGCCGGATCCCACGCATTACGATCAAGGACGCAAGAACAGGGCGTTTAATGACGAACAAGCTCGTGGCTATATGGCTCCACACAAAACAAAAATTAACAAACAAAAAAAAAAAAAAAACCGAAACTAAACTGAAATTTAAACTAGGGCCCAAGCACACATAGAGACACACCGAATGATGTCAGAGGGAAAAATAAATGTAGAGCCAGAGAGAAGAAATGCGTACGCTCGCGTTGTTTGCCGATTACTGAAAACAGAGTACGAAAAGAATAATAGAAGCTGAAATACACAAATTTGGTTCGCGTTTGCCAGCCGGCTAACCAGCCGACGGTCGCAGCAACAACACCAAAAACACCAACAACACACGCACCGACCGACACAGCCACAATAAACTGATTGCCCAAATAGGCGTGCAGCAAGATGTGACGTCGCACAGTGTCCACCATATCGTTCAATTCGAAGCATATATTATGACCCTAATAAAATTTTTTTTTTTAACAATTTTTTTTTTTTGCAAACAATTTTTTTATTAAAAAAAAAATTTCTGAAATATACAGAGCATAGCATAGAACTAGGCTACACAAAAATGTATTTCAGGAGTTTAGTAGAATAAAAATAAATATGTTCATGCCATGGTACAGACCAACTCCCAAACTTGAAGTAAATTGGATTTCTACTTTCGAAGATATGGAGATATGTATTCGAAATTCTGGTCATTTAGACTGACTCAGATCTTTTCTTCAACATACTTAATTTAAAATATTAATTGATGTAACGAAGGATTCAAACATATTTAAGCTTAAACTAAGGTGAAAAAAATCAATATTTTTTATTTAAAATTTATTTATTTATTTGCAAAGATTTTTTGGGTTTAATGGTTTTGAAGGGTTTATTTCTGAGAAAAAAACTAAATATATTTAATATGCACACAATTGGTAAATATTATGTAGAACTGAAAATGTATATACAATAACATTTTTTTAAATTAAGCCAATGGGACCTGAAATCTCATGACCCCTTAAAAAATGTTCCCCTGCGAATATCAAAGTTCGTGATATGCTGTTATCTCAATTTATATTAATGGAATTTTTTGTTGCTCTAAAGCTCACTGTTGCCATATAAAGATTAATACTGAAAAAAGGCACCAACTCGTGTCGAATACTTTGCGAGTGAACAACAATTTTTTCCTCATTTAAAAAAAACCCGTATTCGCAAATCCATGATTCGTCACACAGATTTTAGTGCACCCCAATCGTATTTTCCTTACACCAATCAACAGCGGATTTTATTAGAAAGAAAAATAAACTATGTATGTGGAATACGCTCGTTGGTCGAATCAATTCCTATATTTCTTAGTGGGTTTTTTAATATATCACATCAGAACTTTGGAAATTTGAAAGAAGTTAAACACCAATTTTCCACATAAAGACCCCGAAAATGGCAAAACCAAAAATGGCACCAACAATTTTAGTGGAGCAATTTCTTTATAAATTTAAAATATACTACTTTTTTTTTGAAAAGCCTATCTACAAAATGTTAACTAAATGTAAGGGTGTCGCAAGGAAAATAATAAGAGCATAGAAAGCGTTGCTATTTAAAAAAGTATATATATTATTAAATAATTTTTGTTAAGAGTTTATAAGACGCATTCTTAATATACGTTTCGTTTATAAACAAAAACGACAAACACATAAAGTTAATCAAATATTAAACAAAATTTAATTTATAAAATTGCACAAATAATATGTAATTTAGTTATATAGTACATATGTAAATATTAATCTCATATTTATTACAAGTAAAAGAAAGAAAAATAATGTTTTAAAATGTTATTACCAAAAGAGAAGTACGTTTTATAATTGATGTTCGACCCCTTTCAAAATTTCTATGTTCCTCCATTGTTTCTTAAAATTAAAGAAACTCAACTTTTTTAAGCAATTATTATAAAATTATTTATTTTAATAAGAAAACTAATAAATATCAAATCAAAGAATTTTGGAAAAAATTTTGTAGTCCTATTTCTTTTTGTTATTTTATTCTATATTTACATTATGTTCTCAAATGTTGTTCATATTGTTTCCGTTACATATTCAGCCACCAAAATAAAAAAAAATCTTTAACTAATGCTGTAGAAAAACCAACAAAACCAAACCATGAACAACATTTAAGGTACGACAGGGCTTTAAAGTAAATTAACAAATTTGTATGATATATCTTAAAAATGTTTAGTAGTGGTCGTTGTAGCTTATCTAAAACAGCATATTCTATGGTAGCAGTTCGTATATTATCTTGGCCATAAATACATAGATTTCTCGGGTAGCGTTATATTGAGGCCCATATTATGATGGATAGACAATAGGCAGAACTATTAACCTTAACGAAATAACTGAGCATTTTGTGGAAGGGTTGGGAGAACGCAAACGGGTTAACATATTGGCGGCAAAGTTAAAGGTCAAGCCGCCTCGTGGATTGTTGACAAATCAAAGTGCGAAAAGAATTCGTATTTGTCTATCAGAACGAAACCCGTTTTCGTGGAACACACCCGTGAGTCGGAGGTGGAACTATTCCAAGACACGCGACAATAAAGGGGGGGAAATGGAGAAACACAGTGGAGAGTGGAGAAAGGGTGTTCCAAGTTCTGGAGCTAGCTGCCCCTGATGAACTGATGATGTTGATGATGCACTACACCTTCGGTTCTGTCTATGTGGACATTTCTATTTTTAGCGAACTGCAGTGGCCGAAAATAAACGGAAGGTCTGTGTTCTGTCGTTAGAATTAGAGAGTTAGGAACAAGGCGTTAGTAGTAGCCAATAGCCAACCTGATAATAGCCATCAGTTTTGGGTTTCCACCCGGACTTGCCTGCTCTGTTGTTATTGTTGTTGCCGTTGACTTTAGTTAGTGTTCACCGTAGATGACGACCAAGGCCATTTCCACTGTGTAATCTCCCGTATATTTGTTGTTCTGGTCGCTCGCACACACCACTCGAATCTCACAGCCCGCAAATAACCGACAATTAATGCCCCAGCAACACTTGTTTTTATTAGTTTACACAAAAAAAAAGAAACCCAAACACCTCGGATCTCCGGCCACAGTGTTGGCAGACGGCACGAAGCTGGCGTGCAGTGCTGAAAAACGCCAAACGGCTCTTTCAGTGTGGCCAGTTGGCCTAAAAACTAGATTGCACATTGGAGCGCGCTTGCTCAAATTTCAATTCTTTTATTTGAAATTTGTTTTGTGTTAATATATTCAGAGTTAACTTATGAGTTTTGGGATGATTATTTTTGGAGAAATTTCTTTACAGTGATTTAAAGTTAAAATACAAAAAAGCACCAACTTCTCATGTTGTACATTAGGCTAAGGGTTTTTGTATACTGGTGATGATAATACAAAGTGAAAGTAATTAAATATCGGTACCTAAGCAAATAAGTAACGGCTTTTGATTTTAAACCGATTGTGTGAAAATTTTGTTTTATACGTTTATTATCTACATTCAAGGATTTCCACCCAAAAAGAAAGCTATGTTTACAGGTCAGGCTTGGTAATCAGGCTACCAAAATTTAAGAAATTGGCACAAAAATGTTGTTCGCAAATTTTTGTTCGGTCTTTGGACAGCGGTTCTTATAACCGCTTTCCACAGTGGTCCAGCCACCTTCCACCATCCATTGAACGCCGTTAAAATTTGACGGACTACTTTATGCGATAGATAGCCGATGTTTCTGCGGTGCAGCCCTCATTCCACGCAGTCCATCCCTGAAAAACCGTTGGGATTTTTGAAATGTGTGAAACTCCGATTTCCACAGAGCACATTTACCATTCACATTCCGATAACAGCTGATCTGAACAGCTGTGGCTCATCAAAACTTAAACAAAGATGGTTTACATCGATAATCGATTGGGCCGATATTTTGGAAACATCGATGACAACTATGACATCTATCTATGTTGGCATCGAAGTTTCCCCACCTCTATGTTGTGCTCTCGACGCCGCGGTCGACGTCGCGGCTTTCCGCTAATTTTCCGTTGAAAAGCCGTCGTGCATTTGAAATTTTATTCGATCCGATCCGAAGACATTTATTTTAATTGTGTATTTTTTTTGAGTGTTGTGTGGGAGAGTGTCACCTCCAAAAAAAAAGCGGCAACAACAAGGTTCATTTTCTGGAGCGAGCACACACAAACAAAGCCAAAACATGCACATGCTTGATTTTTTGTTGTTGGCGGAGTCGTGATTTAAAAATAATACGATACACCAAAATAAAATCTACACCACACGCATACAAGTGCAAAATAAAGTTTCTGGTTTCTGGTGATAACAACAACAATAATAAGTTGGAGAGCATAAAAGAGGTACCGCAAAAATGCCACTCAGCTGTTACGAATAAAAACAAAAAAAAACAGTAAAAACATCAAAAATCAAGTGAAGAGAGACACGGGAAAGATGGAGATTAAAACAAAGAGCGGAATTGGAATCGTTAAAAATCAAATAACAACAGCAACAACAACGGCGGCAACCTGCTCTTGAAATCTCTACAAATCTCGGATTTTTATTTGTTTAGCTTTAATCTTTTGTTTTACAATAACCCCCAAAACTGCCATAAGGCACAAGTGCAATAAAAACAAAGCAACAATAGCAAGAACAAACAAAATCAATATTCAAATTAACCCAGCAACGACAACAACAACAATAACTCAACGAGTCGATAAGCTAAACGATAAGTGAGAGAGCAAAAGGATAGAGAACCAGCGGGGAGGAGAGAGGAAGGAAAAGAGAGAGCCCAGCATCCATCCAAAATTACCACCCCCACAAAATGGGACGACGAACTTATCTAAGCCGGGCCTCAGCGATTTCCTACCCCAGCCGAATCGAAGGATGGCTGGACGTCTGCGGTGAGTGGGAGCTTACCTTTTATGTATATTCAAATCTTTCCAAAAATAATACCCCAAATTAGCTTAGTATAGGGGCTCCATCGCAGTACCAAAAGTATAACAACTCCTTACTTTTGACGAAACAAAATCGGAGTTCTAATGTCTTCTAGGTTTTTGTATCTTTCATATTGATATAATATTCATATATTTAATTTAATAAAGGTACTTCTATGATTTTTAAATATGTGTAGGTTATTATGTTACAGTAACAGAATGAAGTCCTCAGATTTGTTGAAAGTTATAAACCGCAATCAATAAAAACATTAATGGTTAATCATTACGGTCAGCTTTAGGATATAGTCGTCCGAATTGTAAGAAACC